CCTAACCCTAACCCTAACCCTAACCCTAACCCTACCTAACCCTAACCCTAACCCTAACCCTAACCCTAACCCTAACCCTAACCCTAACCCTAACCCTAACCCTAACCCTAACCCTAACCCTAACCCTAACCCTAACCCTAACCCTAACCCTAACCCTAACCCTAACCCTAACCCTGAGACAATAGCTGTCACACAGTTTAATAGTCACCGAGTATCTCGACAGACCGACCTGGGTTTCAGGCGCGAGACCCCTGACAGGTGGCAACCACTATGAGATCCTGAGCTTGTGATCTGACTGACCAGACTGTATGTACATAGCACTCCTCACAAAGCCCAAAGAAACACCCTTGTAAATAGCCAACAACCTCTGCTGGTCATGACTGTCACATGTCACCAAGTAGGGTTAGAGTTGGCCAACACAAGTCACCATATCTCAATGACCAGACTTCACTCCTGTCTGAAACTCTGTATCCATCATCTCCTAGCATGTGTCTACAATGTTCATTAAGGTAGCATAAAGATCTGAGGTGGTCCATATCCCACCCCTCCAAGGGGGGACCCTTGCAGCTTTGGCCAAAATTTCAAAAATGCAAAGTTGGCTGCAGCTCCACAACAGGTTGGTCTATCATCATGACAGTCTAGGACACTCTTATTGGTGTATAGAGCAACAACTTTTATTATGGGTGCATGTCAAAAATATCAATATTTCAATGACCTGACTCATACCAGGCCCAACTTCACCAAGCTGTATCAGAAAATTTTATTACTCAACTCGAGTAGGGTTGGATAATGAAACATGCATAGTTTGGGTAGTACTACAACTTTGATTCAGCAACCCTACTCGATTTAAAAATGGAACCCCCTTGTAACCCTAACCCTAACCCTCCTGTCGATTGCGCTCCTCTCGATTGCGCTGCTGCAGCAGAGTGCTCGCTCCTGTCGTTTGCACTCCTCTTGATTGCACTCCTGTCGATTGAGCTGCTGTTGATTGCACTTTTGTCGATTGCGCTCCTGTCGATTACTTTCGTCTTGATTGCGCTCCTGTCGATTACTTTCGTCTTGATTGCGCTCCTCTTGATTGTGCTCCTGTCGATTGCGCTGCTCTTGATTGTGCTGCTCCAGCATAGTGAGCGCTCCTCTCGATTGCGCTCCTCTCAATTGCTCTGCTCTCAATTGCGCTCCTCTCGATTGCACTCCTCTCAATTGCGCTCCTCTCAATTGCACTACTCTCGATTGCGCTCCTGTCGATAGAGCTCCTGTCGATTGCACTCCTCCCTCTTGCGCTACTGTCGATTGCTCACCTCTCTCCTGTGCTCCTGTCGATAGAGCTCCTCTCTCTTGCACTCCTCTTGATTGTGCTCCTGTCAATTGTGTTCCTGTCGATTGCTCTCCTGTTGATTGAGCTCCTCTCTGCTGCTCTTCACCCGATTGCCTTCCTCTCTCTTGCTCTGCTTTCGATTGCGCTGCTCTGATGCTGCTCTGAGTTGTGCCTCTCCGACAGAGTGTGCACTGTCAAGCAGTGTGCTCCTCTTAATTACGCTGTCCAGCAGTGTGCTGCTCCTGCTGTGAGGTGCGAGGAAAATATCAGTCATGTGTGGTAGATGTTAGATCAAAAAGGGGTTACATAACACAGGTCACATGCCAAAAAGGTTAGACCGAAACAATGTTTTCAAAGTATCAGTAATGTGCGCAAAATACTAGATCGAAACAAAGAACACATATTTAACAAAGGGTGCGAAAATATTGGGTCAAAATAGAGGTCACATATTTCCAGACGTGTCTTGGTAATGTTAGATTGTATTTCAAGTCAAAAATAAATGTCGGTCCATGTGCTCCAAATGTTAGATCGGGTTTGAAATGACAGTTAGTCTTGCGCTCCTTCGACTTGTGCTCCTCCAGCAGAGTGAGTGCTGTCCAGCAGTGCGCTCCTCTTGATTGTGCTGCTCCAGCAAAGTGTGCGCTGCTCTCGATCGAGCTCCTCTAGATTGTGCTGCTGCAGCAGAGTGAGTGCTCCAGTCGATTGAGCTCCTGTCGATTGTGCTCTTGTTGAATGAGCTCCTGTCGATTGCTCTGCTCTCAATTGAGTTCCTGTCAATTGCACTGCTCTTGATTGAGCTCCTGTTGAATGCACTCCTGTCGATTGAGCTCCTGTCGATTGCGCTCCTGTCTCTTGCTCTGCTCTCGATTGCGCTCCTCTCTGCTGCTCGTCTCTCAGTTGTGCTCCAGTCGATTGCGCTCCTCTTAATTGAGCTCCTGTCGATTGCACTCCTGCCAAATTGCGCTCCTCTTAATTGCGCTCGATTTGCGCTCCTGTCAATTGCGCTGCTCTAGCAGAGTGTTTGCTGCTTCGATTGGGCTTCTCCAGCAGAGTGAGCCCTCCTGTCGATTGCGATCCTCTTAATTGCACTCGCTTTGATTGCGCTCCTGTCGATTGCGCTGCTCTAGCAGAGTGTTTGCTGCTTCGATTGTGCTTCTCCAGCAGAGTGAGCACTCCTGTCGATAGAGCTCCTCCAGATTGTGCTGCTCCAGCAGAGTGTGACCTCCTCTCGATTGCTCTGTTTTTGATTGCGCTCCTGTCCATTGTGCTCCTGTTGATTGCACTCCTGTTGATTGCACTCCTGTCGATTGCACTCCTCTCCAATGAGCTCCTGTCGATTGCGCTCCTGTCTCTTGCTCTGCTCTCGATTGGGCTCCTCTCGATTGCACTTCTGTCGATTGTGCTCCTGTCGATTGTGCTCCTGTCGATTGGTCTCCTGTTGATTGAGCTCCTCTCTCCATTGCTCTCCTGTCGATCGAGCTCCTCTTGATTGAGCTCCTGTCGATTGCGCTCCTGTCGATTGCGCTCCTGTCGATGGAGCTCCTGTCGATTGCGCTGCTCTTGATTGTGCTGCTCCAGCAGAGTGAGCGGTCCTCTCGATTGCGCTGCTGCAGCAGAGTGAGCGGTCCTCTCGATTGCGCTGCTGCAGCAGAGTGAGCGCTCCTCTCGAATGCTCTGATCTCAGTTGCGCTCCTGTCGATTGCGCTCCTCTTAATTGAGCTCCTGTCAATTGCACTCCTGTCAATTGTGCTCCTCTTAATTGCGCTCGATTTGCGCTCCTGTCAATTGCGCTGCTCTAGCAGAGTGTTTGCTGCTTCGATTGGGCTTCTCCAGCAGAGTGAGCCCTCCTGTCGATTGCGATCCTCTTAATTGCACTCGCTTTGATTGCGCTCCTGTCGATTGCACTCCTGTTGATTGCGCTGCTGCAGCAGAGTGAGCACTCCTGTCAATTGCGCTCCTCACTGCTGCTCATCTCTCGATTGCGCTCCTCTTAATTGTGCTCCTCTCAATTGCGCTCCTCTCTACAGCGCTCCTGTCGATTGTTCTGCTTTCGATTGCGCTACTGTCGATTGCTCTTCTCTTGATAGCACTCCTCTTGATTGCGCTCCTGTCGATTGTTCTGCTTTCGATTGCGCTACTGTCGATTGCTCTTCTCTTGATAGCACTCCTCTTGATTGCGCTCCTCTTGATTGCGCTGCTGCAGCAGAGTGAGCACTCCTGTCGATTGCGCTCCTCTCTGCTGCTCTTCACTCGATTGCGCTCCTGTCAATTGCGCTCCTCTCCAATGAGCTCCTGTCCATTGCGCTCCTCTTGATTGCGCTCCTGTCCATTGCTCTGCTCTCGATTGTGCTCCTGTCCATTGTGCTGCTCATGATTGAGCTCCGTGCTGTTATCAATTGCGCTCCTCTCTCTTCCTATGCTCTCGAGTGAGCTCCTGTTGATTGCGCTCCTCTCGATTGCGCTGCTGCAGCAGAGTGCTCGCTCCTGTTGATTGCACTCCTCTTGATTGTGCTCCTGTTGATTGCGCTCCTTTTGATTGTGCTTCTGTCGATTGCTCACCTCTCTCTTGCGCTTCTTTCTCTTGCACTCCTGTCAATTGAACTCCTGTCAATTGCGCTCCTCTCTCTTGCTCTGCTCTCGATTGAGCTCCTCTCGATTGCACTTCTGTCGATTGCGCTCTTGTTGATAGAGCTCCTCTCTACTGCTCTGCTCTCGATTGCGCTCCTGTAGATTGCTCTCCTGTCAATTGCGCTCCTGTCGATGGGTCTCCGGTCGATTGCACTCCTGTCGATTGGTCTCCTCTCGATTGCGCTCCTGTCGATTGCGTTCGTCTTGATTGCGCTCATGTCGATTGTGCTGCTCCAGCAGAGTGAGCGCTCCTCTCGATTGCGCTCCTCTCAATTGCGCTGCTCTCAATTGTGCTGCTCCGACAGAGTGTGCGCTGTCCAGCAGTTCGCTGATGAGATTGCGCTTCTCAGATTGCGTTGCTCCAGCTGTGCGTTGCTCTTGAGCTGTGTGTTGCTCTTGAGCTGTGCGTTGCTCTCGAACAGTGTGTTGCTCTCGAGCTGTGCGCTGCTCAGATTGCGTTGCTCCAGCAGAGTGTGCGTTGCTCCAGCTGTGAGTGCGTTGCTCCAGCTGTGCGTTGCTCAATTTGCGCTGCTCCAGCAAAAATAAATTTGTTTGCGTTGCGGCATTTGAGCAGTGTAAATTTCGAGTGCGTTGGGGGTCAACGCAGTCGCGTGAATTTCGATTTTGGCGGAGCGCAATTGTGCGTTGCCCGCAAGCAAGACACACCGGCTAGGGCTAGGGCTTTATCCAAGTCTTCGTTGTATTCCTCGTTTCCAGGCGCCACCATGCCATACAGTATCTCCTTCGCATTATGTACTCTTTGGAGGCAGTCGATGAAGGTAGGTTCCCAAGTGTGCCAGTTGCTGTCGCTGAGCTTTTTGATGTGCACAATGGCGCTCGACACCTCCTTGGGGATCTTCTCAGTCTCCCTGCGCGGGGTCTGGTTGCTAATGCTGATGAGGCCCATAGCTCGCATGATCGCTTCCTCGGCCGTTAGTGCTGGGTTCGCCAGCTGGAGGATCCTGACTACCTGCATGAGCCATCCTTCCTCCTGTCCATTGCCTGTGGTTGTTTGATCATCATCGCCCCTTCCCATCTGTCCAGCTCTTGTCGATGGCGGCATTGCGTTGAGTTTCAGACTCTTAATCAGTTAAAGTCATTTGTCAGTAGTTGGAGTTGAGGAGTTTTGTTGATGATGGTAAGAGGGAGAGAGCGAGAGAGCGAGGAGAGAGAAGGAGTCTATATATATACAAAAGAAGAGCAGCAGAGAGCCGCATTGACTGCGGAACATAACAAAGCATTTGTCTTGAGTAGGTTGTGACACATGTGGTCCATGCTAAGATGCTCAGGCCTTTTACTCGGCCGTAAGCACTACCTTCACTGTCTCTACACTTTGTGTAGCTTTATCTACTTCAACTATTTAACAAAGGGTGCGAAAATATTGGGTCAAAATAGAGGTCACATATTTCCAGACGTGTCTTGGTAATGTTAGATTGTATTTCAAGTCAAAAATAAATGTCGGTCCATGTGCTCCAAATGTTAGATCGGGTTTGAAATGACAGTTAGTCTTGTGCTCCTTCGACTTGTGCTCCTCCAGCAGAGTGAGTGCTGTCCAGCAGTGCACTCCTCTTGATTGTGCTGCTCCAGCAAAGTGTGCACTGCTCTCGATCGAGCTCTTCTAGATTGTGCTGCTGCAGCAGAGTGAGCGCTCGAGTTGATTGAGCTCCTGTCGATTGTGCTCTTGTCGAATGAGCTCCTGTCGATTGCACTCTTTTTTGCGCTCCTCCAGCATAGTGTTCGCTGCTTCGAATTGCGCTCCTCTCATTTGCGCTCCTGTCAATTGTGCTGCTCCAGCAGAGCGAGCACTCCTCTCGTTTGCGCTCCTCTCTCTTGCACTCCTCTTCGTTGAGCTCCTGTTGATTGAGCTCCTGTCATTTTCACTCCTCTTGATTGCGCTTCTGTCGATTGCGCTCCTCTCCAATGAGCTCCTGTCGATTGCACTTCTCTCTGCTGCTCTTCTCTCGATTGCTCTCCTGTCGATCGAGCTCCTCTTGATTGAGCTCCTGTCGATTGCGCTCCTCACTGCTGCTCATCTCTCGATTGCGCTCCTCTTCATTGCGCTCCTCTTCATTGCGCTCCTCTTAATTGCGCTCCTCTCAATTGCACTCCTGTCGATTGAGCTCCTCTGAATTGTGCTGCTCCAGCAGTGGAGCGCTCCTCTCTCCTTCTCTGCTCTCGATTGCGCTCCTCTCTACAGCGCTCCTGTCGATTGTTCTGCTTTCGATTGTGCTACTGTCGATTGCTCTTCTCTTGATAGCGCTCCTCTTGATTGCGCTCCTCTTAATTGTGATCCTCTTGATTGCGCTCCTCTTGATTGCGCTCCTCTCTGCTGCTCTTCACTTGATTGCGCTCCTGTCAATTGCGCTCCTCTCCAATGAGATCCTGTCGATTGCGCTCCTCTTGATTGCGCTCCTGTAGATTGCTCTCCTGTCGATTGCGCTCCTGTCGATGGGTCTCCGGTCGATTGCTCTCCTGTCGATTGAGCTCCTGTCGATTGCACTCCTGTCGACTGCGCTCCTGTCAATAGACCTCCTCTCTCCTGCTCTGCTCTCGATTGCGCTCCTGTCAATTGCTCTCCTGTCGATTGCTCTCCTGTCGATTGCGCTCCTGTCGATAGAACTCCTGTCGATAGAACTCCTGTCGATTGCGCTCCTGTTGCTTATGCTCCTGTCGCTAGAGCTCCTCTCTGCTACTCTTCTGTCGATTGCGATCCTCTCTCTTGCGCTCGTGTTGATTGCGCTCCTCTCTCCTGCTCTACTTTCGATAGAGCTCCTGTCGATTGCACTACTCTCTGCTGCTCTTCTCTCGATTGCACTCCTCTCTCTTGCGCTCCTGTCGGTAGAGCTCCTCTCTCCTGCGCTCCTGTCGATAGCTCTGCTCTCTCTTGCTCTGCACTCGATTGCGCTGCTCCAGCAGAGTGTTAGCTGCTTCGAATTGCGCTCCTGTCGATTGCGCTCCTCTCGATTGCGCTCCTCTCTCTTGCACTCGTCTTGATTGTGCTCCTGTCGATTGTGCTCCTGTTGATTGTGCTCCTGTTGATTGTGCTCCTGTCGATTGTGCTCCTGTCGAATGCGCTGCTCTCTCCTGCTCTGCTCTCGAGTGAGCTCCTGTCGATTGTGGTCCTCTTGGTTGCACTCCTCTCGATTGCGCTGCTGCAGCAGAGTGAGCGCTCCTGTCGAATGCTCTGCTCTCGAATGCGTCCCTCTCGATTGCGCTCCTCTTGATGAGCTCCTGTCGATTGCGCTGCTCTCTCCTGCGCTCCAGTCGATTGCTCTGCTTTCGATTGCACTACTTTCGATTGCTCTTCTCTTGATAGCACTCCTCTTGATTGTGCTCTTCTTGATTGTGATCCTCTTGATTGCGCTCCTCTTGATTGGTCTCCTGTCGATTGCGCTGCTGCAGCAGAGTGAGCCCTCCTCTTGATTGAGCTCCTCTCATTTGCGCTGCTGCAGCAAAGTGAGAGCTCCTGTCGATTGAGCTCCTCTCTCTTGTTCTGCTTTTGATTGCGCTGCTCTGAGTTGTGCTTCTGCGACAGAGTGTGCACTGTCAAGCAGTGCACTCCTCTTAATTACGCTGTCCAGCAGTGTGCTGCTAGCTGTGAGGCACGAGGAAAATATCAGTCACGTGTGGTAGATGTTAGATCAAAAAGGGGTTACATAACACAGGTCACATGCCAAAAAGGTTAGATCGAAACAATAATTTCAAAGTATCAGTAATGTGCGCAAAATACTAGATCGAAACAAAGAACACATATTTAACAAAAGGTACGAAAATATGAGGTCGAAATAGAGGTCACAAAATGTTAGACGCGTCTCAGGAATGTTAGATTGAATCTGATGTCAAAAATAAATGTCGGTCAACGTGCTCCAAATGTTAGATCGGGTTTGAAATGATGGTTAGTCTTGTGCTCCTTCGACTTGTGCTCCTCCAGCAGAGTGAGCGCTGTCCAGCAGTGCACTCCTCTTGATTGTGCTGCTCCAGCAAAGTGTGCGCTGCTCTCGATCGAGCTCCTGTCGAATGCACTCCTGTCGATTGCGCTCCTCTCAATTGCGCTCCTCTCTCTCGCTCTGCTCTCTCTTGCACTACTGTCGATTGCGCTCCTCTCTCCTGCTCTGCTCTCAATTGCGCTTTTGTGTCTTGCTCTGCTCTCGATTGCGCTCCTGTGTATTGCGCTCCTCTGCAATGAGCTCCTGTCGATTGTGCTCCTGTCGAATGCGCTGCTCTCTCCTGCTCTGCTCTCGAGTGAGCTCCTGTCGATTGTGCTCCTGTCGAATGCGCTGCTCTCTCCTGCTCTGCTCTCGAGTGAGCTCCTGTCGATTGTGGTCCTCTTGGTTGCGCTCCTCTTGGTTGCGCTCCTCTCGATTGCGCTGCTGCAGCAGAGTGAGCGCTCCAGTCGATTGAGCTCCTGTCGATTGTGCTCTTGTCGAATGAGCTCCTGTCGATTGCTCTGCTCTCAATTGAGTTCCTGTCAATTGCGCTGCTCTTGATTCAGCTCCTGTCGAATGCACTCCTGTCGATTGCGCTCCTCTCTGCTGCTCTTCACTCGATTGCGCTCCTGTCACTTGCGCTCCTCTCCAATGAGCTCCTGTCGATATAGCTCCTGTCGATAAAGCTCCTGTCGATTGAGCTCCTCTCTCCTGCTCTGCTCGTGATTGCGCTCCTCTCGATTGCGCTGCTGCAGCAGAGTGCTCGCTCCTGTCGCTTGCACTCCTCTTGATTGCGCTCCTGTCGATTGAGCTGCTGTTGATTGCACTTTTGTCGATTGTGCTCCTGTCGATTGCGTTCGTCTTGATTGCGCTCATTTCGATTGTGCTGCTCCAGCAGAGTGAGCGCTCCTCTTGTTTGAGCTCCTGTCGATTGCACTCCTGTCGATTGAGCTCCTGTCGATATAGCTCCTCTCTCCTGCTCTGCTCTCGATTGCGCTCCTGTTGATTGATCTCCTGTCGATTGCGCTCCTGTCGATTCCTCTCCTGTCGATAGACCTCCTCTCTCCTGCTCTGCTCTCGATTGCACTCCTGACGATAGAGCTCCTGTTGATTGTGCTCCTCTCGATAGACCTCCTCTCTCCTGCTCTACTCTCGATAGAGCTCCTGTAGATTGCTCTCCTGTCGATTGCGCTCCTCTCTCTTGCTCTTCTCTCGATGGAGCTCCTCTCGATTGCGCTGCTGTAGCAGAGTGTGTGCTGCTTCGATTTGCGCTCCTTCGAAATGTGCTCCTTTTAATTGTGCTGCTCCAACAGAGTGTGCTGTCCAGCAGTGCGCTGCTCTTAATTTCGCTGTCAAGCAGTGCAGTGCTTCGAACGCGCGCTCAGGCCTGTGCTGCTCCAAATTTTGATTTCACACTATAGTACTTTGAAAATGTGCTCTAGCTTCACAGGAACCGCTGCTCTTGCTCTGAGACTTCGCACACAGCTCAGGTGCAGTGTGAAGGAGCAGAACAAGCTATCACATGCTTGAATCGGCCAAGTTTTGACCCCTCTAGCCGAAATTTTGGTTTCACACTATACTGTCTTTTGATCTAGCTTCACAGATACTGCTTCTGTTGCACTGAAACTTTGCACACAGCACAGGCTCCATGTGAAGGAGCCAAAGGAGCTATCTTGAGGTAGCTGAAACAGCATATATACCCCATCTGGAGCAAGGTCGCTTTTTTGATACTTCTACAATTCACCCTCCTATGTTTTTCTGCAAATTAACCCTCTGTTTTTTTAGCAGATTCGAATTCCTGGACCCTGTTTTACTTAGGACACATATTTCCGACTCTCTCAAGACCTTTCTTTTGAGGAGCCGACTTTTTTTTGCATCATAAGTCGTGCTCCTACTCGATATCCATCAAGACAACCCTCCTTTTCAACCTCGGATTCGAACTCCTGGACCCTGGTTTACTTAGGACACATAGCTTCGACATATTTACAGCCTCTTAAAGACCCTCTAAAGCGCACAGGCTGGAAAAAGTAAGTATATATACTATGCATAGTGACAAATCTCTTTTGACTATATCTCCTCTCCCTGTGATTCGATTCTTGATGTCTATAGCTCATTCTCTTCGTCTCCTCAAGCTCGT